GTTTTCAATGAAATCACAGGCAGGTGTTCTACGCAGATGAACGTGTCGTTCCTCTCGATCACCCTGATTCCAACCATAAACTTTGCACCGATACACTTTTCTCCAAAGTCCCTATTCCAACGGAAAACATTCACCCCATTGATGTTTCCCTTCTCGGCGACCTGGAAGAACTCTCCGATTCGTACGAGAAAGAGTTGATACGCGAGTTTGCACAGAAAGACGCTGCCAGGTTCCCCGTATTCGATCTAATTTTGCTCGGTATGGGACCAGATGGACATACTTGCTCTTTGTTCCCTGGACATGAGCTCCTGGCTGAAGAAGATCGATGGGTTGCTTATCTGGAGGATTCACCCAAACCACCACCAAAGAGAATCACGCTCACATATCCCGTCTTGAACCATGCTGCTCGAGTCGTATTCGTGGCCACCGGAGAAGGAAAGGCGGACATCTTAAGCCAGGTTCTGGATAACCCTGAAGCAGGATTGCCTTCTTCTCGAGTGAAACCGGCATATCCTGGTTCGGTCTATTGGTTCATCGATGCAGCCGCAGGTTCCAAGTTGAAGGAACCTACGCAGAATCTGTGAAGAGGCAGACGTGCTAGAACGACAGTCGAGCTGAAGAAGTACTGAAACTGTAATTTACTATGCGCTTTTCTTGTTCCCATTAGACTTCTTTTCTATGTTCTCCTCGCTTCATTTACCGCCTCGTTGTGCACCTTTTTATACATTATGTATATTGCAGTTCTAGGTAGTTGAGATTCATACGAGATCACTCTGCTTCTTCTACCAATACGCTCCAGTCGCTCGGTATCGCACCCGTCTGCCTGCCGACGAGCTCAGTCCAGATGGGGCGGGAGATGGGACCCATTCCATCCTCGCCGGTAGGTATAGGGATGTCTTCACCGAGGTATCCGATTCTGTCTACAGGACTGATGACCGCGGCAGTCCCTGCACCGAAAAGTTCGACGAGTTTATTCGTCTTTGAGGCCTCTTTGACCTCTTTCATCGTGATCGGTCGCTCGCTAACAACCAGGTTCTCGGGGAGGTTGGGAAGACGTTTGGCACCTGCGACATGTTCACGGGCGAGAGCCAGGACGGAGTCGCGGGTGACGCCGGGGAGAATCATACCATCCAGAGGAGGGGTAATAAGCTCGTATCCTGCAAGTGGATATATTCAGCGAGGTGACCACTCGGGAAGAAACTCCACTTACCTCCGTCATCACTTCTGAGAACGACGAACATGTTCATCGTACCAACCTATCCGAACGTGAGCAAGGGGTCATGATGTGTACGACAGACCAGCCTTACCTCGGTGAGGTAGTGTTCCGGCCCATGCAACCAAAGGTTTTGCGCGTATCCTTGCTTCGCGACGAGTTTCTGAGGCATGACTCCAGGGGCATAGTTCACGCCAAGTTTGTAGGCACCAGTTCCTATGAAGATGCACGAGTCAGTGAAACTTTCTCTCGGATGTTTGAAGATTCTCACCGCCAGGAGCTGCTCGGATAAATTCTGTCGTTCCGTAGAGTCCTATGGGTTTGAATCCGTTCGGATAGTATGGTCCAACGGGACTACATATCACGAACAGGAGTGCCTCAGTCGGTGGGGCGACCCCAATGAATTTCTGTGTGCCAACTAGTTTCGGTCAGAGTTTGCGGCCTGAGGAAGTAGTAGGTGTGTGCTCAACTGAGTGTAGGTCGAATGTACAAGCTATGGCCGGCCTCTCTAGGTATCCAGTGCTTGTCAAGACGGATAAGCTGCTTGATAAGGTCAAGGAGAGCGTCTCCATCGAAGGTCTAGGGACACGCGTCGTATAAGTGAGATGGGCTACAGGCACAGGAGAAAAAGTTGCGTGAACGCACTGGCAATGCAATCCGTTGCGCGCTGTTGTTCATTCTCTTCATGTTCATGTCGGGGCGGAACAAGGTAATCTTTCCCCTATCGTCCCGATAGGCTTTCATGCCCTCGAAAAGAGTTTGAGCATAGTGCAATACCGTAGTACTGGGATCGAGTTGGAGAGGTCCGTCTGTGTTGAGAGTAGAATGTTGAGTTGAATCGATAGTACAGTCGTGTTGAATCACGCACATGGCCTGATATTTGGTTCACCCCATCCGTTAACTGCGTCCCAGGGAATCGCAAGCATGTGGTCGGTCTATCCGTGAGGTGTTATGAATCTGGCTTCGAGGCATGTTAGAAAATAACGAACGTACAAAGGTACGACCAAAGACCAAAGTTTTAGAGGACGGGGGAGGAGTCGGGTTCTGGTTTTTCGTGATCACCAGTCTACCAGGCTATTCCGGTGAATAAACTTGTTGTTAAGTACGTGTCTTGAAGTCATTAAGATTGGAAACACACCTGGATATCCGGCAATGCAACAAGCTCCCCCGTCATCGGGTCCAACGATGGCGTCTGCCCGAGAGGTAGGGTGCTCTGGCATCGAATAGTAGAAGCTCCCCATGAGCGGTTGATTTGCCTGAGCGATCCCTGAAGTCGTGAACGAAGAAAAGGTAGTCGAGATTGGAAAGTCATGATGAGTGGAGGTCAAAGAGTGAAGCTCCGGCAAATCCGCTGAGGACAACGCGTAGCAGCGAAAGATCCGAACCAGGTTGACTTGACCCGACGCGGGTCTAAAAAGGCACTCCTACTCAGCGCTAAATTCACGACCTTTCTTATGACAGTCCATGACTCGGACTAGCATTCATTTCTACGCTTCAAACTAGACCCTATCGACGAGGACAGGTAGATAGCCAATGTCATGTACTGAATCCCAAGACAGAAAATAAAGATCCATTTTATTGTAACGTCTTCTGATTCCCGAACTTTCATCGACGGTGTCATGGGAATACATCAACCTCCATTGAATATGGTTACAGCTGGTCCTGTAGTTCAGAGCTATCATCACTAGTCATAAAACACGTACATCAATCGTCAAGGTATAAGACCATCCATCCAACAAACCGTCTTTCCGCTAACCTCTCCAAGTTACAACCAATGATACAGTACCTACCCGTCCGCAAGCTCCGGCCAGATCCCACACACAAATCTATCCACAAGAACCATCACCATATGCACATTGCATTCTTGGTACCCTAGCGGAGCCAGGGCACGGTCCAAAGTTCTCTCGGGATCGTTGCCCAAAAGAAGATGTATGGCGTTCAAAGTAGCCCTGCCGGGTGCCTTGCCATCTTTGCCATTTTTTCGATTGAAGACTGTGATGATTCGACGGCGCATCTCCTCGGTTTCCTCCGGGCTAGGATCCGGAGGAGCTGGCTGGGGGTAACCGTTCGGAAAGAGGGTCTTCTTAGCACTACGAACGATAGTCAGGAGCGTGTTCGAGGTTAGAACATGTTGATTGAGAATGTGTGGCAGTAAGCTGGTCACAGAAAAGATGTTTTAATTTGCTTGTTTGATTGCTGGCTATCACTAGACTTACCGGTCGACGAAACCTTCGGCGTTCAACGCTCCCAGCAGCATTTCCGTGGTCCCCATAATAGTCCGACTCGCATGCCGTTCGTTGAGCATGAATATTTCGGATACAAGGGCCAAAGATGGGTAAGCATATCCTCGCGTTCTTGATTTGTGTACCGCGTCATCTTTACTGCCCTCTTGATTTGGGTGAGAAGGGGCGCGCGGAAATGCAGAAGACGTAGATGGCAAGGAAGATGATGTCGACGAAACTCGAGAAACCGAATTGGTGTCTCCGGGCAATGTAGGAGTTCTGTGCATGGATACCGAGCTCCTGTGGGTGCTGGCAGAGCGCGTCCGTTCGAGAGGTGCACCAACGAAACTGGTTCTCTTCTGTTCTATTTCCTGAGCGGATTTACTTTCTTCTTCGGTCTTTCCCAGCCTTGCCGAATGGGTAGATGAAGCTGCGTTGACCTGTTTCACGGTCAATACCACTTGCTTGTAAGCATGCACTAGTGCTAGGCAAGCACCGGAGATGGATTGTATGGTGGAAAGGAGGAGGATTAGGAGAGACGAAAGGGGTCCAGAGGAGGAGGATTTCGAAGCGTCGTTGTCATTACTCCTGATAGCCTCGCTACGTGTCTGCGCAACTTGAGTGGGAGACGGTGGATTATTTGGACCCTGAAGTGCGGACGGGTGAGTGGGTAGGCTACGAAGTGACGGAGGAAAGGCACGCGCCTTGTCGTCGATCAAGTCCAGAATTATCTTGTAGATAAACCAAGGTTTTGTCACCTTGGGGAGGACATCTTCCGCCACTATCTTGACCACAATTTCCCTGACAATAAACCTGAACATAGAGCCTTGTATCAGTTACTGACGTCAGCTCGGGAGAAGACATCGTAAGCACCTCTCTGCCTCAGGCCCATAGTCCTCTTCCGGTAAACTGACTCTCAGAATATGGTCTATAACCTGCCTGATATATTCATGATTGACCTTTCCCTCCGAATCGACGCCCATATGTGGTTGAAGCTGGTGGAACAACTTGGGTAAAGAAAGACTACCTCCTGAAGCGTACGCTGAATCGATCTTGCGCTGGGCATTGCGAAAGTCTTCGTAGTGTTGAGTCAATATTGTAGGTATATCCTCGAAGATTAGACCCGGCAGCTCGTCATTGAAGGGTTGGGAGAGTATCCGCGATTCAAGGGAGCAGAATACATTGGTGAGGATATGATTTATCTGCGGGAGAAATTCCTTGTCGTATCTCGTTATCTTCGACCACCACGGGAGTACAAAGGCGCGAAGAGCGAGGGCGATGAAGTCGTATAATTCCTCTGTCAATTCATTTGGTACAGGGGTTGCAAATAGTGGAGGAAGAGAATCTGAAGGGGCGGATTTTACTTCGCGCTTGATGCCATTGGGGAAAAGCAGACGCTGAGACAGCGAAATGGACGACTGGGCTTGGTGTGCGAGAGTTGACTGAGATTGTTGTGAGCGGAAGGAGGGAGGCATCCCTAAATCATGTGCGACATAGAGCCTCATTATGGCAAGCACGATCCCACGGTAACTGTACTTAGTGTATGTAACAAGCTTGAGTTGTATGGTCTAATAGTGTAGCGGTTATCACAGTGGATTCTGACTTCGTGTTAAATTTCCACTAACCCAGGTTCGATTCCTGGTTAGACCTTTTTTTTTGGAAATTATAGGAGATCGAAGAAATTACATATACGATACACGTATCACTGAGATAAGTATTCACATCTGAGCAAAGTAGCGCTTCACCGTGTCCCACAGCTTTTTATCATATCTGTCGATACGCGTGAGTACTGTATCCAGAGCAAACAGACGACACATACCTCTGGCTGTCGAAATACTCTTCACACACCAGAATAGCATCTCTCATGCCGTCAGCCCTTGTGATCATCAGCCCGCCGGGGATGAAGCCACAGCCTTTCATTCCATCGAGTAGTTCGTCCTCTTCGGCTACGGAGCGCTTCATCCTCGCGTACATCGGATACACGTCCAAATTCTTCAACTCGCGGGCGATGGACCTGCTAGAGAGTGCCGCGCGGGCATTGTCCAGAAGAGTGTCGGGGCGGGACTCGTTCACCTCCCGGTCAAGCAGTTCCAACCCGATGCAGTAGCCAAACCTCAATCTCTCGCATACCTTGAGCCTGAGATAATCAAATTGGCGATGGGACTGTAGGTTGTAAACCATTCGATAGTCCCCGCCGTCTTTGTCGACTCTCCCAATCGTTCCGCTGAGACCCGCCAGTGGGAATCCCCTGGATGGAAGATACTTGGGCTCCTCGTACTGATCGTCTTCGTCGTCTTCGTCTTTGTCATTATCGCTGTCATCGTTGTCGTTGTCATTGTCGCCGTCGTCTTTCGTTATTGGTGCTGGGTCGTAGACTTCCGCGTCCGAAAGGGTCCAGGAGTTGATCTCAAGGCTACGATATCCAGAGTGTGGATCCAACTCTTCACGTACGTGGGCAGGCGGGTTCTTGTAGACCGGAACGGATGGATCGGAGATGGATGTTGCCGAATGATAACCTGGAATCTCCTTGAGACGTATCGTGAAGCAGTAGGAGTCACCCAAGTGGCGTAGCCTGTCGACTCGGAAAGCGTCCCTTTGACCATCCGAAAGAGTGGACGTTGGCCTGTCGACGGACCAATCCAACTCCGACTCCGACTCCGAAACACCTCGAGGTGGAGGAGTCGGGGAATGCCCCCACTCCTTTCCGTCGTAGTTGATCAATTTCCAACCCCTTTCCAAGTACTTGTTTCGAGCCTTATCACGTTCTTCTTCCTCATTGGCGCTAACACATACGAGACCTGTGTGTTGCTCCAGGGTGGCCTTCGGAAACATGCAGTACGCATGTGAGTACGAGATGACATTCATGACGACCGCTACAACGATTCCAGAGTCAGAAAGGTTCGGACGGGCACTATTTGAATCGAGATGAGACTTACTGCAGTGGAAATTGAATATGACCTCCATCGTCGAATCCTTCGCGGTAATGATTTGGATGTTGCGTTCTCCTTTGGTGAGACTGAAGATCCCTTGTATGCCCTTGAGCCCTGGCCCGTACTCACACTCGTTTTCGTCATCAGTACCTTCGAGTGCGCTAGCGAGGGTCAGGTCTTGGCGCTGGCTCTCCTTTGGCTTGAAAATGTACCCTGCAGACTCTAGGAAGTCTGCTAGTACTTTCGCATGCCGATATTCGACGTACACATCCAGGTCGGAGTCCTTGTAGCGAGTGCGTTCAAAGTACTGGAGGGCAGTCGAGCCAGAAATCAGGGCACCCGTATAGGCCTGCACCATACGGAAATCTTGAATTTCATCGTACGTGAAATACGGAAGAAGGAGTTTGTTGACTGAGAAGCCGGACTGGTAGTAGCGTTCAGTCTCTGTCTTGGCCAACTTGCAAGTCCGAGCGAAATGAGCCAGATCTGTGATGGAAAGCTTGTCGAAAATCGCATCCATGACGACTTTGAGAGTGCAGCTAGAATTATCTATGAGCCTAGGAATTGAGGAGAGAAATATATCAACGTACAGGAATGCAAAGGGAGCCATTCTGGTAAAGATATGGAACGAATGAGAGAGGTAAACACCCCTTATTGCCTTCGCGGAACGCTTTATAATATCGTGGGCTGAAACAAGATGGGCTGACCGCGGCGACGACGAGATCGAATAAAATTCAAATCAGTCGCGGCGTGGGTCTAATGCTTCCGCATGGCCGCTTTCACTCTTCTGTTACAACCGCAAATTCCAATCGATTTAGTTATACAGTCCGTACAATGGCCGGTAATCGCTTTTGATATACATTTCCGCTTTGATGATCCATGTACTGCTCAGTCTTCAGCCTGTCCTTAGCACCAGATGCACGCCGCTATCAGAACTGATGACATCGCTCATTTGACCAACATCGAGCCCGAACGCAGCGTCTTCGAATGCTTTCTGCATCTGGCCTTTCCCGAACCAGCCGAGATCCCCTCCTTTTTCATGAGAGGAGCAGTCGGAATGGACCTGTGCGAGTTCGGCAAACTTCTCTGGCGATCCCGCAATTTCAGCTTGATGGCCTTGAAGAATGGAGATGGCTTCTTCCTTCGATCGCGTGATGTTTTGCTGGGAGAGAGTCAAATGAGATGACAATAAGCATAGGATGACGACTGAAGACGCACCTCTTTCCAACTGCTCGGACGCCGACTCCCACTGTGCTTTATCAACAGATGACTGGCTCTGACTTGACCAGGTTTGCTAGAGCTCTCCAACAATTCTGCGCCAGGAAGGGCTTTGATCTGGTCTTGAGTGAGCTCGGGTGGGGCATCCCAAGTCGATTGTTGATTGTCGGTATTGTAGAAGTAGGCAACCCTACGAGAGTTGGACATACGGACTTCCCACTACGAAAGGATATAATCAGACTAGAAGACCTGGAAGCCAGATCGAGAAAGGACTTGCACCCATGATTTTACTCGATGATTATTACACGTCGAAGGAACTGGTTGAGTTGGAAAGTGAACTCATTTCAATTTGGCTGACATACCCGTGGGAAGGGAACCGGGAGCCGGACCGCAACCGGGAATTTTTTTCGACGTTACCCAATCCAGTTTTTGATAAATCTCAGCATCGAGCCAGGTTGTCCTTCAACTACCCAACAGTCTCTTCTTTCTCAATGCGTCCGGCAGCGCGTGTACGCGTTGCCCACATTCTCGGACGCAGGTCGTTTGCAACACACTCGACACTTGCGGAAAAAGATTGCACTTCAATCACTCCCCCATACCCCACGCTCATCCAAAATCTTGACCATGTTCGGAATTCCCTCAAGAGGCCACTGACGCTCGCAGAGAAGATTTTATACAGTCATCTGGTAGACCCCGTCAATGGACTACAAGGAGCAGGCGGGAGAGTGAGAGGAGAAGCGTATCTGCAATTACATCCAGAGAGAGTTGCAATGCAAGATGCTAGCGCCCAGTAAGTCCTGTAGTCTTGCATGAGAACCCAAAGTCTGACCAACGTCTGGTAGGATGGCACTGTAAGATTGAACCTTGGTACCCTTGTCTCTTTCTCAAATTCCTCGGCAGTCTACAATTCATGAGCGCTGGACTCGCGCGATGTGCAGTACCCACCAGCATACATTGCGACCATCTTATCCAAGCCTCGCAAGGTGCACAAACAGATCTGCAGGTAATATTCTGTGACAATGCCGTTTTTTCCACATCTGACTCCGCAGTAGCACTCGATAGAAAACAACAGAGAAGTCTTTGATTTCCTCGAAAGTGCTGCCCGGAAATACGGGATCGAATTTTGGCGCCCGGGATCCGGAATCATTCACCAAATCGTTCTGGAGAATTACGCCGCTCCGGGAATGCTTATGTGTGTACATCCTGTTCTATTTGCCCCTTGGTCGTTATTGACCCAAATACGTAGGCTGGGAACTGGTAAGCTGGACGACCATCCACTAGTGGGGCTGATATAAACGTCGCATAACAGACTCGCATACGCCTAATGCGGGAGGGCTTGGGATGCTTGCAATTGGAGTTGGAGGAGCAGACGCGGTCGATGCCATGACTGGTACGCCTTGGGAGCTGAAGGCACCACAGGTTGTCGGTAAGATTCCCTTCTTCAAGTTCCCGACGTGTGACTTGACCACCCTCTTCGTCAGGAATACACCTAACAGGAAAATTGTCTGGGTGGGCGACACCTAAGGATCTGATTCTTCACCTCGCAGGTAAACTCACAGTGAAGGTGCGTGGGTATGGATACAGAATGGTGTACGGCCTATTGAAAAGGAATACAGGGTGGAACAGGACGCGTACTCGAGTACTTCGGGACTGGAGTAGAAAACCAGTCGTGTACAGGTGGGCACACCCTCCGACTTTTGTCAGCGTTGACTGAAGACCACTTGATAGGATTGGCTACAATCGCGAACATGGGAGCTGAAGTCGGCGCTACTACATCCACATTCCCCTACACCTCAAACATGCAAGCGTACCTTCACGCCACTGGCAGGGGTCCCGTGGCCCGTGCAGCAGACGAGGCTGCTGCTAAAGGATTCTTGCGTGCTGACGAGGGAGCAGAGTACGACGAGGTCATTGAGATCGTGAGTCCAACCCAAAATAACCCATTCCCCGCTTCTTGCTCAACCTCCCTATGTATGTGTTTAGAACCTGTCCGAACTCGAGCCCACGGTCAACGGCCCCTTCACTCCCGATCTTGCGACCCCGCTCTCCAAATTCGGATCTTTTGTCAAGGAGCAAGGGTGGAAAGATGAATTGTCGGCCGGCCTCATCGGTTCATGCACTAACAGTTCTTATGAAGACATGGTAAACGTGAATAATTTTGATATGGTCCACGTGCTAATTCCTTTTCTCAGACCAGTGTCGCGGATTTGGCGCGTCAAGCTAAACAAGTTGGTATATCGGCTCAGGTTCCCTTCTATTGCACACCAGGTTCAGAACAAATACGCGCGACGATGGAACGCGACGGTGTTACAGAAAACCTTCAGGATGTTGGCGCAGTCGTTTTGGCAAATGCTTGCGGCCCATGCATCGGTCAAGTAAGTACCTCTATTCAGCGTCGTGTGTCGTTGAAGTTGATCCGTCGTTCCAGTGGAAGCGGGAGGATAAGAAGGATGAGGAGAATGGCACGTCCACGACATAATTTTTGACAGCAATCCCTCTGAT